AAGAAACAATCGCTCGGTTACCTGTAGAAGCAATCCTGCAACTGAATCCAATCCGTTATGGGTTGCGGCGTCATGTTCCTGTAAAGCTTTGACGAGCAAGGTGAACGAACGGGTAGAACGCACACATACAACTGATGCCTGATATCGTCGTATTACGTCACAGATTCTGCCACGTGATCGAGGGACGCGTTTTTGTGGTATGAAAGTGCGTTTCGGAGTGAACGCATTTTCCGTGACTTACATTATCTCTAGTGAGATGAGCAACGCAAGACCGATCTCCTCTGTAAACATTAAACCCAGCACTCAAAAAAGGTTACGTGATGCTGGTTACAAGACAGTTCAAGATTTAAAGGAGACTACACCAGTGTCATTGAGTAAAGGTAATTTAATTATTATTCGCATTGCCGAGATCTTTTGAGAGTAGGTCTTCGACTGATTCGTTGTCTCAAACGACTCCTCTTGAAGAATTGGATATATCAAGTCAAGAAGCGCTCGATATACTGCAGCAAGTAATAAAAGGTAGTGCGATTTGACAACTTCTCTTTCGTGTCACGATAAAGTAAAACAAAAAAAAAGTCGCCAAGTAGCACGTCATTTTTAACCCACAGGTGAAAGGGTATCATCGGTTTCCGTGACAGAAGTTGCCCAAAGACAAAGAATAATGATAACTACGTTTTGTCATGGTCTTGACACATTAATTGGAGGGAGAGGGATTGCCTTAGGACAGATAACCGAATTCTGCGGTGTTCCCGGTATTGGTAAAACGCAACTTGGGTAGTTAACAACTTCGTGTTTGTGTGCGTGAGTCTGCGAATGATTATTTGCATCTGAATTATACACTGGCGATGATATAAATACAGAATTCAGCTTTCCGTCAATGTTCAGATACCTCGAAGCATGTCTGGTGCCGAAGGCGAGGCAATTTATATTGGTATATGAGGATATTCTATTCGGATGTTCATTTTTAGCACGCGCGTCACAACTTTGTTAACTTGACTTTCACAAAGACACCGAAGGAAGTTTCGTTGTTCAACGCGCTGTCGAAATAGCCAATGGAACCATGGCCGAACTAAGCGAATCCTCTAACGGAAAGGATGGTATGCGTCGTTGATCGAGGTCTTTTTGACGAGTTTGACACCATCATTCTCGCATTTATCGAACTTTACGTAATTGCAGAATCACCTTTGAATCTCGAGACCATTCTTTCCCGGATTCATTATTTCAGGGCTCACGATTACATAGAGTTGCTCGCTCTCATCAGGATCATGGATCAATTTTTGAAGGAACACCCAAGGGTATAATTATGATAATGCGATCCAATAAAATCATAATAATCCAATATTAAATGCTTTCTGCTCACGCTTATCGAAACAGGTTAAATTAATCGTCATAGATTCCATCGCATTCCCTTTTCGACAAAATTTTAGTGACATGATGCTACGAACGCGATTATTAAATATGATAGCTCAAGATTTGGCAAATATGGCAGAATCGTTCGAAATCGCGGTATTTATTATTAAGTAAGAATGGTGTCGACGACAATTTTTTTTAAAAAAAAAGAAAACCCTTTTAACGCCCAGGGTCATAGGTCGTTCTCATGAATCAAATGACCACCAAATTCGGTAGTTCCGGTGCCTCGGATAAGGTGACCTTGGTTCCGGCACTAGGTAAAGCGCATTTATCTCAAATCCAATTTGCATAAATATGCAGTGCGAATCTAGGGTGCTCAATTAATTTACGTTTTCGTACTAGGCGACAGCTTTAATAACAAATGTCCAAACCAGATAATACTTTATTGGCGTGAGGATATGCGGTAGGCGATGCCACGTCAGCTTATCAACTGGGTTTAGCTTAAAATTCAGTTGCTTATTATTATTATTATTATATATACATTTTTTTAAAAAACAGGTTTGCACACCTGGTCAAATCTGCTAGTTCACAAGAGGCGACAGCGCAATATCAGATCACAGTATGTTGAAAGGGTTCCGGAAATTTCTACGGGTTTCTCATACGACGCACCCCATTAACATTGATTGTTCAACATTAGACAAGCGGAATTCGTGATTGCCCTTCAAATTGGCCAGCTCGAAAACGCTATCGGCAGGACGATTGAACCAATCTACGAAATCGCGAATGCGTGTTTTTTCTTTTTTTTTTTTCCAAAGAATGATAGTAGTAAACGAAAAATGATAGGATATCACGTTAAAACGTTATACACGTAATTTTTTTGATAATCAAAAAGATGCCGAATGGAAAAACCTTATCTGAAAAATCGTCATATGTGATATTGGATGCCTGCGCATCACTGATTTCATATAAACACTTGTTCCGTTTCTGATGTTATGACAATGTCGAATGATTTAAAGGCCCAACTCGCAGGAATCAAACACATAATCCTCGTACTTTCCGGAAAGGGAGGCGTTGGAAAGAGTTCGATCACCACGCAGCTTGCACTATGTCTCGTTCATAGTGGTTTCAAGGTCGGAGTTCTCGACATTGATCTCACTGGACCAAGCATACCGCGAATGTTAGGGCTTGACGGCAAGCAAGTTCACCAAGCCTCTTCGGGGTCAGTATTCGTAAGGAGATTTAGTTCAGTCACTGCATTTTCGGAAACGCGATTTTAAGTTCCCCATATTGAAAATGTAAATGTTCTCCGTAAACAAGTTGGGTTCCCGTTTTCACAGATGAACGTCAGAGACTTTGCTGCATGTCGATTGGTTTTTTATTACAAAACAAGGATGACTCGGTGGTCTGGCGAGGACCCAAAAAGAATGGTCGGTGGGTTCGTTGACTCTTGTGGAATTACAAATATAAACGCAAGCGATTTATTAAATAAATGAAATGCATGTACAGCAATGGTCAGGCAATTTTTGTCCGACGTTTGTTGGGGTGAATTGGATTTCCTCATCATTGACACACCACCAGGTAAGGATGTGTGCATTTATGATATTTATGATCAAAGGTGCCGCAAGTGGATGATGGGGCTGGATGGCTCATTATTAAACAATTCACTTATAGGCACTTCAGATGAACACATTTCTATTGCTGAATATTTGAGGGACGTCAACCCTGATGGCGCGGTCATCGTGACTACTCCACAGGTGACCATCGACCTCGATTGCATCGTCTAAAGCAAATTTATTATTATTATTATTATTATTATTATTTACTAAGAAAAAGGTTTCACTTCTTAGGCTGTTGCGTTGGCCGATGTTCGTAAGGAGCTGAATTTTTGCAAGAAAGTCAAGATACCAATATTAGGCGTCGTCGAGAACATGAGCGGATTTGTGTGCCCTCATTGTGAGGTTAGTGATGAGATCTGATGGTAACATGACGCGGTGACTAATCGAAATATGAATTGCGCGTGGCATTGATCCAGGAATGTACAAATTTGTTTTCTACCGGAGGTGGCGAAAGTATGGCAAAGGAATTCGACGTGGAATTTCTCGGTAAATGTTTGTCTATCATTCTTGTTAATCTATTCTAACCGTAGATCGGTTGAACGAGAATTTGGTTCATCCTCTATTTATATAGGACGCGTTCCCATAGATCCGTCGTTTACTATTATGGTCGAGAAAAAGGACGAGTTTTTCGAAAAATATCTTGAATCCAATTTGTTTAAAGTATTGAGTCCGATCACTGATAAAATCGTAAAAAAGGTTTCAACATGAGCGTGTCTTGCGAGCTCAATTAATTACAACTTCATGATTAAAAAAAAAAAAAAAAATCTGGGGTGTTCACAATGTTTTTGGTTTTTGCTGCGGTTCATGGGGTCCCCATGCTGGACCCTATTTTAATGCCATTGCCATAGAACTTTTTTCTTGGGACAAGTAATTGAGAAACCATATTTCATTATATAAAGACAAGTTACCACGATGGCAACCATACAATACACATATATTATAAAGAAACCTACGTAAGAATGAGCGATAGAGAGACCTTTAGTAACGGCACTGACGATGACTTGTCACTCCCTAAAGGTAGTTTAACAACTCTAGAAACGTCTTACGAAAAAAAAGAATATATGGAATTGGTCCTGATTGTGAAGGAGATTATAATTGCTTCTCTTTTCTTTTTTTTTTTCTTAACAAAAAAAAGCGACCGTCACAAAACTAATTACGGAAATGCTACCGCCCGGCATCAATTGCGCCAAAGATACTCGAGACTTGTTAATAGACTGTTGTGTGGGTAAGCGACGAAACTTTCGTCTCTCTCTCTTTTTTTTTTTTTGGAAATGTAGCATGAAAGCTAAAAGCGCACTCAAAAATTCCCACACCATTCTCCGTTTCCACCGTTTATAAATACACTTTACAGAGTTCATTCATTTGATCGCCTCACAAGCAAACGATATTTGCGAAAAAGATGCAAAGAAAACAATTGCTGCGGAACATGTCATTAATGCTCTTGAGGTATCCACTTGTATCTTCTGGTCTGCAAAGTGTTGATGTTGACGTGCCCAACTCAAAATGATGAATATGTTCATTCGTTCATACAGGAATTGGGTTTTGAGAGCTATTTGTCTGAAGTAAAGGAAGTATTCCAAGAACATAAAAAATTACAGAAGGTAAGTCACCCGCGGATTACCTTTTCATCATGTTTGATTTGTGATCACCGAATCCGTACACTCGGTTCGCCCTCAACTTCATTATTCTTAATCCAATAGGATCGTGACAAGAAAAGTTCCAGGTTGGAAAATTCCGGGATGTCGGAAGAAGAGTTACTAAGGCAGCAGGAGCTCTTATTCGAGCAATCCCGCCTCAAATACCAAGCACAGCAGCAATCTTGATCAAAGTCAACAGGGTGTAATCATCTTTGACATCAAACCGTATGTTATTTACGGAATTTTGCCGAACGCCATTCTGATATTATTTTGCATTCTTTTCTTTATTCTATTATTCCCTTTGCATTAGTCTATTTCCCCAATTCCTTTTTTTTTTTTTTTTTTTTTTTTTTTTTTTTTTTTTCCTTGCCCTCACAATTATCATTTGAAATAATTTATGTTCTTTATTTGTAGTCATGAATCTCTTGTGTATATACATATCGATAAATCTGAACGGCTCACGTGATTACTATTTGAACGTCTGAAGTGAATTGTGTAAAAATAAAAGGATAGATGTAATATTGTATGTAACAATAAAAAAAAAAAAAACGGTATCAGGTTGTAAGGTCAAATTTTCTGGGAAAGTGTTTCTTTACGGATGATGCAACGTACAGTACGTAGGACGATTGCCGTCCCATTGACCTCGTTTCTCTAAAAGATGTCCGGGCCAACGGGATCATTACATCACCGCTCTTTACCAACAAACGAATCAAATAAGGTTACACGTGCACGGCCCAAGATTCCAAGCTGTGCCATATATTATTAGCGTGCGAAAGTTAACGTCCTCGCCGCCTAATGACAATCACTTGTATTTATGATTATCCCAATTAGAACCTTAGCCGTCGAACCTTTCATGAAACGAATTCATTAGTGTTGTTTTTTTTTTCTTTTTACACCGCATTACATAATCTTACTTATTATACATAATTACCTTAACTAGAAACAATTATTAATTTTATGTCACTCAAAATGATGGGCATCGTACATGACGATATCATGATATCGTAGAAATTTAGATGTCGATAATTCTTATCGTCAGATAAAATGTCCTTCAGACTGGTTTGCGCAGTTTCACGATTGGCCCGCCCGAGGCCTTTCGTTAAAGTCGCCAATTTTCACGTCGGTAAGAGCAGAGAAAAATCCTTGTGTCATTTGTACCCTGTGAAAATAAGACCGACCACAAAGTATTATCATAATAGGTCAGTCGATCCTCGTTTGCATAGGGAGAATCCACTAACATTCGTTCTAACTGTCGAAGCGAATAGGTCGTGCCACTGCATTTCACGCCACTAAACAAGTCAGAGACGGTGCTTGTAAGAACTCTCTCACGTACCTTTTCTAAAGAGTTTTCAAACAGCCTTCTTATTCTCGCTAAACGTTGTACACACTTGCAAAATAATAAAGCTTTTATCAAGGGGAATGTAAATGAGGCCACCGAATTCCCTCCGAGGGACAAAGTCTCGGGATCTTATCATTGGGATTTTGAACGCCTTTTATCAGTTTCTCTGATCCCTCTGACCGTAGCTTCCGTCGTAAATGGTGCACACCCCATCACGGATCTTTGCCTCGGCGTCATTCTTCCGATTCATTGTCACATCGGTTTTGACGCAGTCATCACGGACTATTTACCATACCGGAGGACACCGGTGCTAAACAAAATTTCAACTTGGGGTCTAAGGGCGGCCACACTGATCGTTCTCTATGGTTGCTACGAGTTCAACACCAACGATGTGGGCCTAACTGAATTTGTCAAAAAAGCGTGGCATGCATGAAAGGTATCAATCGAATTCGATATTTTAATAAACAGATGATATTATATTACCATACTGTTGTAATGAATATGTTAATGAAACTTTTATATAAGAAATTCTACGTTAAAAAGAAGAGTTTTTTTTGTTGTTGAATGGATTTTTTTTTTTTTTTGTCCTAAATGACGAGTTTTCCCCCAAGATGCTGTTTGACGTACACGCACCAAATCATGTCCCGCTTAACCAGAAATTACCGATTCGATGGGAAATGAGTTAATTATCAGGATAAATACGCTAATATAAAATATCTAAGAATTATATGTACAATAAGTAAAATCCATGCTAGGCTACCCTTCGAAAAAAAAAGAGTACAAGTAATCCAATGCTATGAAAAGATACAAAAACAGAAGGAAGAAACATACAAGAGTGTAAAAAGAAATACAAAATAAATAAATATGTGTATATTACAACATAATAATGTCTTTTTTTTTTTTTTTTAAAAAAAAAAATACCTAATATTGTACAAGGTATCAAATCAATTATAATTTACGTGGGCGCACCAACAAATGCTCGCGCCAGACGTTCCACAGACAGAACGTGTAGGGGGAGGCATGTGCGAATTGGTGTTACCTCCATGAACGTAAGCGTATGGAATTTCTTAAGTATTTCCCACATGGCAGAGGGGATGGACTTATCACCTTCTTCGGGATAATGAAGTAAATCAACCTAGGTAAAATAAGGAAATAAAAAAAAACCGAAGTCACAATTGTAAATGACTTCAAAGAAATTCACTAAAAAAAAAAAAAAAGAAAGAAAGAAACCAAATTTTCCCAATACCTGGAATGCGCTAGATACCGTTTCGGCGGTGTCCATCTCAAGCAAATATCCGGTCACGAGAGGTCGATAGTCGTAAAGTGGAATGGGGTCGTTTAACACCATCCCGCACACCTTAAATTTTTTCGGATTGGCCACCTTGATTGTAGGATCGATAGATAACGATGACTCGACGTCAATCGCCAGAATGGGAATCTTCTTCCCGGTGATTTCCATCCACACTAAATAATCAAGAATTCGAAGTCAGCAAAGGTACACCAAGTTTTTCCAAGAGACGCATCAAACATTGATAACTCACAATCCCTTTCTTCTTTGGTCATAACCCCGAGTTTGGTGATCATCGTCTTCCGACATCCTCCCATAACCTCTTGACTAAAAGTTAGCGTTTTGTTCCAAGCCTCCGTGAATAAAATTTTTTTATGAATGGCCTGTCTCATGGGATTGGTGGTCAAAAGTGTGTCACTGCCGATATGCTTTCCTTGCATATCTACCCATACGATGAACAAACGACGTTGATCGAAGCTATACCCATATGACATTTGCAGAATGGTATCGTATGTAATAAGGTCCTTGAAAGAATACGGTTGCTTCGTCAACCTGAAATTTACAGAAACTATTGACGGCTTGGGTAAAACAAATGGTGCCTTATAATTCTAGAAGAAATGGAAGGTTGATCAGATTTTGGTTTTTTGGGGGGGGGAGAGAAAGAAAAAAACTTTTTTCTTTTCACGTTTTCTTACCAGAGATTTGGTATATACGGTAAATGCTAATTCCTTAAGCAAGGACTTATTCTTAAAGGATCCCCCATTGGTTTTACCGAATCTCACAATGTGATCAATCGGTATGACTTGCGGAAACACGGAATTAAGCATCTTCGTATTATTAATGATCTTGATGAAATCTTGCAGCTTTGAGAAACACATAAATACATCGAAATTGGATGATAAATGACTCCAGGGATTAATTAAATAAATTATAAGGTGATGATGACCTTCAAATTTCTCGAAAAGTTTCGGTAAAGATTTACCTAAAATTTAGATTAATTTAGATTCCTCATAACCATAATAATAAGAATGAATGTAAAAACATGAATATTGACTTACCGAGTTTTTCACATGCAATTTCATAACTATGAATCTGACGTGCTAATGATGACTCGTTCGGAGAAGGCGCTAGATCATAAAAAAGTTCATTTTTGGTCCAAAATTAGACAACGATAAGTGAACCTGATAACGCATCCTTCCGGTCGTTGACAGTTACCTTTCAGCGGTATCGGCACGAGTCCACGATTGTAACCGGACGACGTCACGGGTTCGTGTGTTCCAAGGGCACAAAGATGCTATGAGATAAATGAGAAATCCTTGGAATAAAAACATCGTAACCTCCAATTAAGCAAGCATTTCAGATTGAATATATTCGTTGTACCTCGTATTGAACGCGCAACTCATCGACAAAGTATTCAACGTAGTTACGTAGGTGATCTGATTCAGGATAAAGCACAAGGTATCTCACATTCTTTGCCCCATCATATGGTGTCAACTTGTGTGTATCCCAAAACTTGATAATTTCGGGAGATGTCTCAATTAGAAGTTCATTGGCGCTTGCGATGATATCGGGCGTCGAGAATTCTTGGAAATTGAATACCGGCTCCCCGTCGTCATCTCTCATCTCTTGATTCGATGGTGAAAATAATTGACAACCTTTAATTATAACGAAACATTAAACGCCGGTACGGAGTGATAAACATAAAAATGAGTTCACATTTACCACCGAGATTATAATAATTTTGAACTGTGAGTGGTCCGTTGACGGACAATTCCGAGTGATCCTGTGATCTCGGTAACTTTTTAGAAATATCATCCAAGGCAGATTTGCAATCGGCTATGACTTTACCCATCTCGAATGGAAGCACTGAAGCCGTTGGAAGTCCTATATCATCATACACATTAGACTTTTTAAAGAAAAAAAAAAGAATGAAACGACACCCAGTTTGTTTAAAAAAAATCATACCGCTACTTAAATTCTCCACAAGACATCTGTGAGATTCGAGCAACTCGTGTGTACTCTCTCCTTCTCCATTGATACCAACACCAAATGGATAAGAGCCCAATACTATTTGTTCGCGCAGGCATTTGAGTGCTGCTTCTGTACTAGGGTCTTTTGATTCTGATTCGCTTACCGTACGTAGTTGACGTCTACCATGAAGATCATGCAGATCGAAGACCATTGTTAAACGTCCGGCATTTATGAATTCCAATTTACGAGAATTTACACCTTCGGTCACATCACTTTCGTAATCCGATTCGGCCGACATTGAGCTGCCCGAATCGCTGCTATAATCAGAATCTTCGATTTCGGACCCGAATTCATCGGAATCTTCCTTGGGAACCACTATGTCCTCCTTGGTTGTCGTTTTTTTCGTACCTTTGTGCTTTTTGGAACCATCAAATTGTGATGGTCCATCTGGGCCATATAAGTACACCATTTTTCCTCTCTTTCGTTTTTTCCGACTAGGTGGCTGGTAAAATTTTCCTCCGGGTAGGTACTTTTTCTCATCGACATGATTGGAAAATTTCAGAGGCACATAATCTTCCGGGATTAGCGGATTGGGATCCCGATCACATTCATACTCGAGGCTTATATTGATATAACTTTTCATTTTCTTGGGAGGACTCATGGCCTGGGTAGAAGTCGACTCGGTTACCAATGACGATGGAGGTTCGGGTGCCGGCGTCAAATAATTCAATGAAGTTGGAATATGCGTATGAGAAGGCTAGGGAAATTGATAAAGTGATATCGTTAACTACACTCGCTAACAATCAAAGCACGACGAACTAATTCCTACGAAAATAATACCTCACTACTGGCATTGTCAAAGTTTTTAAAGTCATCCTCGGTCACCTCCTCGGTCATCAATTCATTGAAATCATAGTCTTGCGTTTCATAGTCTGTCTCGATGATACCTATCATATCATCAGCCATAGGAATCAAACCTTCGCTGATTGCCGGTGACATGGTCACTTCCGTCGATAGAGGCTGAATCACATCTGGTGGAGATGGATAAGCCTTGGTCTCCATTGGTCTCTTTTTGGATCTCGACGCGGGTGTCAAAGGATGCCCAGGAGAATTCGCGCTTGAGGGTCCATTGATTATTCCGGGAGTGTTTGGAGTCATCGTTGTTTCTGGGCCGGTTGGTGATGAAGCATTTAAATCTTGAAAATTCCTTTGCATATTCATAATCTCACGAAGCGGATCACTATAATTCCACCAATCTATGTTATTCAATTTATTATTTACCAGATGGCGCTCTTTTAATGATACACTATTCGTAAATCCATCACCCAAATTTTCCCATAATACAGGTCCCATTCCAAAATCCGGAATTCCACGGTGATAACTTATATTGCCCTCGGTGACTATATATATACATTGCGATGGGTAGGGGAACTCCTTTGTTATCGTCTCGTGAGTTATCGACACTTGAACTAAAGGAGGTAAATACGTGCTATCTGTTTCTGACCTTCTCATGGCATCGATGTCAAAAAAGGTCTTAAACTCATTCAATATTATCGACGCCTCCTCGTCACTATAACGTCTGGTGGATAATAATTTCGCCCTCGAGCCGGAAGGTACCAGTATTGCCTGTGCGTTATCGAGTGATTCCAGGTCACTAGGTTCCAACGGACGCACACTTTGATATCTTACAATTGGCTGAACAACCAAATTAGTGGACGCCAAATGTACATTGTATTTACAACACAGTATACTGTTTGAATGAGAAGAAACAACCGGTTAATAACGGTGAACATATTTTTAAAAATGACGGAACTTTGCGTCTCACCTTTCATAAACTCTATGTAAACTATTGGGAAAAACATGCCATTCACCCAGTGGGATTGCACCTCTTTTTACTAGGGATCTTTGAGAAATTTCGGAAGAGTATAACAATGATTAAGTTTGATGCGCAAATTCTATTCACGAGAGGGAAGGAAAAAAAAAAAACCTGTCTATCAAATTTTTAATCGATTTTATGAATAAACGATATTGTATCGTAGAAGACTCAAAATCTTCCCAGGAGAAAACGCCACCGCATGCCGAGTCTGTAATTTGTAGATAGTGATTTGTGGGCATGGGATGTATGTGAGATAATTTCACATCAAGCATTCGATAACATACCTTCTAACTGATGCAAACTACTTAGAATAGAAGGATGGTCTCCTTGCTCTCCTAGCCAGAATACCCATAACTCTCTTTGTATCATTGTGTCGCCATCGGTGAAAACTTCAAAATTCTTTTTCGAATCAACATTATATTGCCATGTACATGGGATGCCTTGGTCAAGTAAGGTCATGTAATTGGTCACAATGGGATCGCTGGCCGCCGAAAAATTAGGACCGTCTAGGAAAGAAGAAACTGAAGGAGCGGAGGTTATAAAACAGCGGAGTTCGTCGGGGGGACATGTATACGTGTACTTGCGCCAGCCAATGCTTGCTATATTTGACTAAGCAGAAGAAAAATTACCCAAGTTATTCGATGTTATGCAGGGGAAGTTGTTTAGTGTACAAGAGAAAGCTTCGAGTCCGACTGGAACATACCAATGTTATTACATTTGTGGTGGAGGTTTCAATTGGCGAGGTGGTTGTATTCGACGATTCCATATTTTTTTTTTTGCAATTACTTCGTCGATTTATGACTTTTAGGTATAATAATTATTCGTATTTGTCAAGAATTTGGAAAAAGTGCGGTGCTCATATGTAAGACAGACCTGCCTTTTTGATTTATGATGTACTTGAACATATGATACAGAATAACACAATGGATATATAATTTATCACTAATCACGAGGTGTGGAATAAACTCTTTATAGGCACACACCCTTAGAATTATTCTAAACGCCCTGGATCACGTAAAACGTCCACTTGTGTAATGTTAAGGTAAATTCCAAAACTGCAATCATTTCTTGTTTTTAATAACCGTATAATAAAATAATCAACGCTTGTCGGATTTATAAGCTAATTAAGCTAATTATTATCGCATTAATCATTATAATTATTAAAAAAAAAAAAAATAATAATAATACTCTACCTCTTTGAATTATAAAATAAAAAATAACTTTATTATACTATTTAATTTACTCTTTAGTTGTCGAAATTCTATACGCTCTATATATATTTTTTTTTAATTTAATTGCATACATTTTTCTTTCTTGATTTGCTATAAAAGAAATGCAAAAAAAAAAAGTTACTTACTGTATATACTATATACTATAAATATATCAATTTATTAGAAATATGCATGTAAACAAGAAAAAAAAAAAGTTTCTTTGATTGAAAATTAAGTGTCAAAGGTAAATTGATTAATAATCATGTTTGAATAATATCATAATTGAAATATCAAGCAATTTTAATATCTGTTTCTATATTATTTTTAAGTTCTACTTTTAATCTAGATTTTTATCTAGGCTTTATATTATATTAGATATACAGTATATTTTTCTTATTTTTTTATTTTATTTTTATTTATTTTTTTTTTGCCCTCTGTCAGGCTAGTTACATATGCTTTATTAAATATTTATAAACTATACATATAACTTGAGATGCTAAAGCTAATTCTTTAACTAACTCATTCATCTTGATTGTTTTACCTTTCTAAGTGCAACTTCAAAAATAATTTATTACTCCACTAGGAGTTCAAGTAAATATTCTTCCAACTTCTAATATTATTGCCTACAGATTACTATTGCAAATTATTCTTTTGAGTTCTGACAGAGATTAAAGCCCAAACATTTCATCCCATACTTTATCCCATCTTGCAGGACCTATTTGAGTATCATATTTTCTGATTTTTCTTCCTTTAATGGTACTTGATATGGCCAATTTCTTGATACCTTAGTTCTATTTTTTTGCCTCTGTAGATATGTCGACCTTTTGATCTTGTCACCTCTATTGATTCCCAATATCCATTTCCACTCTAACACCTTTTCACATCTGATATTCCAAATTTTCTTTCTAAAGTAATTATATATTTTCTTATGCATCCTTATTATCCACTTTTTTGTTTCTTTACTGATTCTCTTTCTATAGTACTTTAAATCTACTATCTCATCTATTAGATCTTTTTCAATTAGTTTCATATAAAAGCTAAGTATATTCGGATCAGTATTTGAGATTCTTTTCACTAGTTGAACTATTTTCTTATTTATTTCTTCTTATTTCATTCTGTTATTAACTACCAAACTTATTTCTTTTTCTTCTGACTCCTTTTTCCTATCTATCAGAAGTTTGTCAAAATCTTGCATCATATCTTTTATATCCTTTTATCAGGTTTCTTACTACTAAGTTTTGTATGCTAGACATTCTGACAAATGTTCTATTGTCTTTCTTGCTATCCACATACAAGATATTTTACTTGCTTGTATAAGTCTAGTCTTCTTATGACTAGCTTTGTTAACATGGGTAGCTCATTACTGGTCATTTTAATAAGAAAACTTTTTCTTTGTAATCTTTTAAAAGAAATATTCCATATATATCCATTATTTATTTATTTCTAGACTAGGTCCCATATATACCTGACTGGTTTTGAATTTAATGATTTTATTTTTTATCTATTCTATTTTGAGTTGTCCATTGATACATCATTATTTTGACATTGGTTTTTTTAACAAATTATCTTATTGAAGTATTCAGCATTATATCTTGCTATTTAATTTCTTTAACAATCTTAGGTGAGTCCAGATCTTGTCATTCTATTGTTGGAAACTTTAACACTTCTTTGATTAGAATATCTAATTTCTCATTGTATTAAATATTGAAGTATATTTTAACCTTAATAAGATTTAGATCAAAAATTTTTTTCTTTATTAGGCTCAACATTCATGTCCATAAGAATCAATTTTGTTCCTTTAGCTATCTTTTGTGAGTTTTTTGAGAATCCTTCTTTTTTATAGTTTTCTATTTGAAAATGCAGACTTGGCTATCAGTGTGAATTTTGACCTTGCTATTAATTAGTACTACTAATAGTATAGTGATTATTACTACTAGTTCTACTCTTGTGGATAAAAGCCAATTAGCTACCACTGCTTGGAACTTGTTTTCCCTTCCTACTTTTCTAATTTGTATCTATACTGTACTTATCTTCAGTTTTTCATTTCCATAATCAATAATGAATTTATTTAAGTAAAAAATCATTGTGTTATTGCTATTATTCTTCTTGTTATACCTGAGTATTTCAGTTTAATAGGTTTGATACGTGCCTTCTTTAATATTCTTTTTAATGAACTTCTTTTCACAGTTTTCAATCTCTACTTTTTCCAGTTACCTTCTATCATATTGTGTAATCATTGAGTCTATATGAATTGTTCTACTTATTGTTCTCTTTAGGGCTATCTTGAAACATAGAATTTCTAAAAGTTGAGTTCTCCTTGTAAATTTCCTAGTATTAAGATAAGTAACTATATATATTTATTCCATGTTTGATTCTACTATGCATCAGTTTTTAGTCTTGATCCCTTCTAAATAGTTTTATCATTACATTAGATTTGATTCTAAGTTTTTTTTGAAGCTATTACATTTGAAATAATATATTTTAATATATTTTTTATTGTTACCTAGAATCAACTTTTCTCAAACAAGTTGTTACTACTAATTGTTGCTCTTGATAACCATCTAAAGTTTTTGCCTTTTATCAAGATTAGGATTGAATACTGAATGTTCTGAATTCCATTTTAACCGATCTTCTTTTCAAGATCTTATGAACTGTCCTAGCTTGTTTCCTCACATCTCTTTTATTATTGACAAGTATCATTCTTGAATAGGTTCTTTACTTGTTTTTTATAAGAGTTGAAGCATTTGCCAGTCCTATATTTCTCTAGTTTCATAGTTGATAAGCTAATCCATATATATCAACTTATTGTGTTTGAGTGATGGAATGGCTTTACTGTATTTATCTGTTATTAGATGATCTTTAATTAGACTATTTTTGATACTTAAATTAAAGATATCATTATATTTTTAGCTATAAAAGATTACCTTCATATCTTTGGTCAGTTTCAGTACTTGTAATACAAAGTTGCTCCTTTCCAGAAGATGATTTAGTGAGTTACATATAAGTAGATTAAGAGATTCCTAGTATTTAAACTGTAATTGCTTTAACATGATAATTGTTGTGATTTCAACTGGCCCTAAGTCATTTAATCTATTGTACAATCTTGTTATTTGATTTTCTTTTTGCAACATCCAAACACTCTTTAAATTGTAAATCCTGGGATGATATACTACACTATTAAATATAGATCAACATAATATGGCCTTATTTTTGAAAAGCTTTCTATATGCTATTGTTAGAGCATTATACATTCACCAGGATAATATATTATGCTATATTCTGAATTCAATTCTAGGTATTAAGACTCTATTCAAAATATAAAGTTTTTGCTTGTTAGTTAACTTTTTGTTCTTTAGGAACTTGATAACCATATTTATTTCTTTAAACATCTGTTCTTTGAACTTGATAGCAGATTTCTGATTATCTATCCAGATTTAAAGATAGGTTTCTAAAGGGGGAGATAGAAACAAAAGTCAAATATCCCTTACTAGAAAACATTAAAATTTTTAAATTAACAACTATAAAAAAACTACACATAGTTGTTTTTCATTATCTAAATTCTTGATTTATAGTATTTCCTGACTTTTGTTCCTATTAAAGTGAAGAGTTATGAAGTTTGTTTCTTAAAAAGGAATATAAGTAATCTGTGAAATTTTATATACTAAATACTTTAGGGACCTATTATTATTCAGATTTCTAGGAATCTTGTTTGTTCAGCTCTATCCAATTCTCTAACTACTTCTTTGTCAATCCCTGCTTGAACCTTTTCTGGATATTGGTTGGAATTGCTAATAGTAATTAATACTGATTTGTTACTATTAATCTACAAATCATTTGTCTTATAAAGATTCTTGCTTCTTCCAGAATCTTTTTCATATTCTCTTTGAATCTTGCTATTTATATTGTATCATTCATAAATGTGATAGTTATATACCTTGACTTTAACTTTCTTTCAGTATTTTCTTTTAACTCTAGATCCCAAGCCACTAATATTTTGTAGCCTTTTGTTTCATCATTCTGAATCTTACACAATAAAAGGTCATAAAATATCCTTCACATTAGTGATGAGATGGTTTCTCCTTAATCAATTTTATCTCTTGCTATGATTACTTCAATTAGATTTTTTGCAAATATGAATCTAAATTCTTGATTTCAAAA